TAATCACTCTACAGGTCGCAATTATTACCTTCACGAAATTTAGAATGGGGGTGAGGCTATGTCCAGAATATAAGCCTATTGCTTTTATGATCGCATAATATTTAGGGGTTGAAATGAACCAAGAACTGAAACATTTCCTGATTTTGCAGGCGTTCTACAGGTCGCAATTATAGACCAATCGAAGCGGAAGTTAACATGGGGCTAGAGATTAGGGCTAGGCAGAAGTCCTCCAATTTTGATGGTAATCGGGTAGTATTTAGTGGGTGAAAGAAGACCATAACATAACATATTTTTAATCCCGACGAAATCACAAATAGACGATCAAATGGTTCGAAAAGTAAAGAAGCGACTTGATCGAAACCTGCGTCGGAGTGGCCGAAAATGGCTAGTGAGCTGAACATATCGCAATATTCCATTCGGCAAATATTGAAAAATGAGCTCGGGGTAAAGCCAATGAAATTCCAAAAAAGTGCAAGAACTTACACCGCAACAGAAAAAAACCAGTAAAGAAAGTCTTAAAGTCGGGCGGGCTGACTTTCCTCATTTAGTAGAGCTCCGCATAACTATTAAAAGTTTTTATGGGAGAATTCAATCATACGCGCTATGATTATAATTTAAACTTAAGCCGAAGTATTTGTATCTTTTAAATTCGGACTTGTGTTGCCCATTTGGTGCACAAATAATTTAAAATCGGATAAAAATATATATATGGGAGCTATATCCAAATCTGAACCGATCTCGATAAAATTTGGCAAAGATATTTCTGAGCTGTATTTGGTATATTTCCCCAAATATTGTTGTTGCAGAGTGCATATTACGGCTGCGGAGGACAAAAATAACAAATCGGATGAACAATATATATTCATACATATTTTCAGGTCTAATTTGGGTGTATATGCAAAATTCCATAAAATTCGGGCTAATATTACACGTTTTGTGCACAATAAAAGATAAATCGGACGAAGATATATATGGGAGCTATATCTAAATTTTGACCGATTATCTCCACTTTCAATAGAAAGTGATCTGTGCAAAATTTCATGTGGATCGGACAATAAATGCTACCTGTACTTTGTTTACAAAAATACATGGACAGACGGACGGACATGCATAAATCGACTTAGAATGTGATTCTATGCAGATCATCAAAGGAAACTATGGGTCTATCTCGTTTCCTTTTGCCTGTTACAAACAAGTGCACAAAGACATAATACCCTGACCACCTTGTGGTGTAGGGTATAAATAGACTCAAAAGAGCTAAAGAGTTGCTTCGCTTGGCCGAAAGTGTGAACTGCCGAATTTGGTTTTCTCCGATGAGAAAACATTCGTTGTCCAGCAGTTTGTAAACAAACAAAGTGATCGTGTTTACTTGCCAAAGAGGTCAGCTGAAAATGTGAACCTTCGGTTGGCCACCAGAACTCAAGCGCCGGCCATGGTGATGTTGTGGGCCGCCATAACAGCCGATGGCATCAGAATAAATGACCATTATTATCGCGAAAATATTCTGTAGGGTGTATTAAAGCCTTGGGCACGCAAACGCAAACATTTTGGCCGCAGACCTTGGACATTCCAACAAGACTCAGCTCCATCGCACTCAGCACGCGCCACCCAAGAATGATTACAAAACGAGGTTCCACCAAATTTTCTGGTTACCAATCCGTTGGACTATTGTGTCTGGAGCAGTTTGGAAAGCAGGGTTGGCACTAAAAAATACCAAAGTGTCGATCACCTCAAGCAAGCGCTTCGCCGGGAATGGTCGAAAATACCGCAGAACAACATTCGGTCAGCGTGTGACGGTTTCATTGGCCGTTTGAAGGTTATAATTCGAGCCGAAGGTGGACCTCGAACAAATCTAAACTTATTCTAAAATTTGATGCTATTTTCGACATCTTTTGATTTCATTCAATAAAATTAAAAAAAATGTACCAATTATGGCGTTTGACTTTGTTGCAGTTTTTTTATCTCACCCTGAATGTAGGAGCTATATCCAAATCTGAATCTTTGACTGAGGTATTTCGGAGCTCTATAAGATATCTGGTATCAAATAGCTTTGTTGTCAAATGCATATTAGGAACTAAAGACCAAATCGGATGAAACAAATTTGATTTACTTACTTCCAGGCTAAATTCGGTCAGATGTACTAAATTTCAGGACTTTTGGGCAGATATTGGTCATTTGGTGCACAATTTACCTGAAATCGGTTGAATATATATGGGAGGCATATCCAAATCTGTAGCGATCTTGATAAAATTTGGCAGAGGTATTTCTGGGCTGTATCTGATATCTGGTACCAAATATCATTGTTGTCGAATGCATATTACGAATGTGAGGGACACCAAATCGGATGAAACATATATATATATAGCAGTAGTTATATCTGAACCGATTTTCACCAAATTTGATGTACCAAAATCCAGGACTTTTGCATATAAGTTCGCCATTTGGTGCACAATTAAGATGAAATCGGATTAAGGATATATATTGGATCTATATCCAAATCTTAACCGATCTTGATAAAATTTGGCAGAGGTATATCTGGATTGTATCTGATATCTGGTACCAAATATCAATGTCGTAGAATGCATATTACGAATGTGACGGACTTAGAGACCAAATCGGATGAAACATATATGTGGGAGATATGGCTATATCTGAACCGATTTTCACTAAATTGAATGTACTTGCTTCTAGACTGAATTCGGTTGGATGTACCAAAATTCAGGTCATTTGGACAGATATTGGCCATTTGCTGCACAATTAACCCCAAATCGGTTGAAGATATATATGGGAGCTATATCCAAATCTGAACTGATTATCACCCATTTCAATAGGATTCGTCCTTGGGCCAAATAAATATTGCTTGGAAAATTTCATCCCAATCGGATAATAAATGAGACCTGAATTTTGTTCAAAAGAATACATCGACAGACGGACGGACTGACATGCATTCAGAAAGTGATTCTATAAATATCCTCAAAAGTAACTATGGGTCTATCTCGCTTCCTTCTCCATGTTACAAATAAATGCATTAAGACAGAATACCCTTACCACCATGTGGTGAAGGGTATACAAACAATTTCCAGCATTTTACCTTATAACTAACTCAAAATTTAAAAATTCATTCTTTCAATTTTATTCGCAACTGTTCACATACTTGTCCACATGGCCATAGGTACCAAGAAAATTTGGATGTCATTCAATGAAATGCCTTTCGTCTGGTCTGCTGTTGCATCTTTCAATGTAGACAGCTTGACGCTGTTCAAGTGTAGTGCAAAAAATAGTTTCTATCTTTTTGTTGTTGTTGTTGTTGTTCATTCTTTTAAAAATGCAATAGTGCCCCTCTAGACTGACTTGCCGTACCGCGAACACCCCTCATCCTGTCAACGAACATCTGAACTATGTACAATCACACAATTTTATGTAGTGTGACAAATGTGTTGCCAGTTTTTATTTTTAGTAGCCACTGCGACCATTACAAAGCAAATAGGAAAAGAAAAAAAAGATGCGCAATGGTTTCTGTATCATGTCTGAGCAATATTTAACCCTACAAAGATGGACAGGGTAAAAATGGTAGTTCTAGGATATATGTATATTTAAATGATGAGAGATATTGTCAAAATAATATAAGGGAGTATAGGGCTAAGATATGTTCGTTTTTTTTAGGAGAGCGCAGTGGAAAATTTCGAAAAGCTCTTCCCTTAATAAATTCACAATTATGGCCTGAACCTCTGGTTTAATGGAATAACTTTAAACTGACTAAAGATTTCATGATATCCCCCGCCCCCATCCAGTTCAATTATGATTATTAAACTAGGGAGCTGTGTATAAAGTCCTTAGTTGTGTATATATATTTTTACGAAAAAAATACAGGGTGAGATAAAAAAAACTACAACAGAGTCAAACGGAATAATTTTTACATTTTTTTAAAATTCATTGAATGAAAGCAAAAACTGTCGGAAATTGCATCAAATTTTAGAATAAGTTTATATTTGTTTGAATTGGTCACCTTTGGTACGAATTATGGTCTTCAAACGGCCAATGAAAACGTCACACGCTGTCCGAATGTTGCTTTACGGTATTTTAGCCCATCCCCGGCGAAGCGCTTGCTTGAGGGGATCGACACTTTGGTATTTTTTAGTGCCAACCTTGCTTTTCAAAATAACCCAGACAAAATAGTCCAACGGATTGGTATCCGGAGATTTTTGGAAGCGAGGAACTTCATTTTGCAGCTATTCTTGGGTGGCGCGTGCTGAGTGCGATGGTGCTGAGTCGTTTTGGAATGTCCGAGGTCTGCGGGCAAAATGTTTGCCCAATGCTTTAATACACCCTCCAGAATATTTTCGCGATTACATTCGGCATTTATTCTGATGTCACGATCGATTAATACGAGCGGAGAGCAACCATCGGCTGTTATGGCGGCCCACACCATCACCACGGCCGGCGCTTGAGTTCTGGTGGCCAACCGAAGGTGCACTTTTTCAGCTGACCTGTTTGGAAACCTCTTTGGCTGGACAACGAATGTTTTCTCACTGGAGAAAACCAAATTCGGCAGTTCACCACTTTCGGCACTTTTTGGAATTTCAATAGCTTTAACGCGAACTCATTTTTTTTTTAATATTTGCCGAATGGAATATTGCGATATGTTCAGTTCATGAGCCATTTTTCGGCCACTGCGACGCGGGTTTCGATCAAGTCGCTTTTTTACTTTTCGAACCATTTCTGCTAATGTTGCTATTTCCTTCCTTCCTTCCTTCCTTGAGTTGCAAATGTGAGTCTCTAATCCTAATATCATATAAGGTGAGGAATACGAAATGTTAGAATAGAAGTAGATCGCCAAAAAGTCAAGCTCGAATATAACTTCAGCCACTTTGGTTAATTTCAGTGGTGTTCTCAAAAACCAAAACCTGTGGCAACAAGGTTTACAAGAAATCCATTCATAGAATCGTGATTGCTATTCTGAACAGTAACTGATTACCAATGTAAAAGTGTAAAATAAAATGTAACTTTTTAACAAAAATATATGTATTTTTTTCGAATAACTCATTATTTTGTCTAAAATTTAAACTTAATACATTAAACTTAAAATATTAACATATAATATATTACAGTATATATGTTCTACATAGTTCTAAAGAGTTTCTCTTTGAATGGACTTGGCAGACTTTCTATGAGGGATGTAGGATTGGCCGAAACGGTTACCAATTCATCGCAACTCAACCAACCCAAATATAATAAATGCTGAAATAGAAAATGTAACACCTTAATTAAACTCTGTTTCATTTTTATGTACTACCATATGTTTCCTTACCTCATATGTCTTTTCCATTTTCAAACGTAAACTGTAGACTTTGGTCTCATCATCCTCATCGTTAGTTTTCATTTTCTTCAACGACTTCTTTTTTGAATTTTCCACAACAGCATCTTCGAGTTTTTCTCGCGCTTTACATTTTTCCAATACGAAAAGTTCCGAATCATTTTGCATTACAAATATGTTGGGATTACGAGGATCGAGTAGGATATTCTGGATGCAATGATATTCCGAATTAACCACAAATCGATCCACATCGGAGCATGTGAAACACATCTCTTCTAAATCGTATTCAAATATTTTACCATCAGCAAATGCAGCTACCAATCGTGGCTGTTCGGGATGTATACTGAGCGCAGTGGTGGCCGCTGTATATCTTGGTAGGTTCAGCAGATGTTTAAAGTGTTTTCCCTTATGAATCGACCACACGGCAATTGAACGATCGCTACTGGCAGCAGCAATATATGAACCACACACAGATACGGTGAATAATTTTATGGAATCCTTAATGTGTTTGCTGGTATCAATAGACTCCACAAAATCTAAAGGCGGTGTACTAGAGATATTCAGATCTCCAGCATTGACATTCGAAAGCATGGCAAATATCATGATATTTTTACTTTCCCGATTGACCACAATCAGACGCATCGAATCTGCGGTGAATTGTACATGCGATGCTGGCTCCATTTGTTCGGGTAGATCTTTAACTCTAATCAGCTTAGTATCACATTTCTTTTGGTCGTCATCGCTTGAGGAGCCAGCCACAAAATGAAACAAACGTATTTCCGTGTGTGTCGAATAACATAGCCAACGTCCATTGGGTGAAAGGGTGGAGCAGACAATTCGTTCCTCATTTCGGCTTTTAAATTCTAAAAGTTTGTCAGGTACTGTATCGAGGGCCAAGAGTTTTGATGTTGATGATTCACTGCTCTCTTGGCCCAACTCTTGCTTGCCATTTGTTGATCCCATACGCCATATCTCCAATGAGTGAGCATAACGTAGAAGCAAAAGACGTTCAATGGGTGAAACTGTTACACAGGGTTGCTAGAAATACAGAAATTTTGTTAACAATCATGATAACAGTTATAATAATAATGCTCCTATATACATTTGATATTCTGAACACATGTGGTCTATTCTAGAACTGTAAGAATGTAAACTACATTATAGCGGCAACCAATTTATCGAAAAAAATGCGAAACTAGTAGATTCTTCCACATTCTGGAACAGAGCCATGATGTTTTAAAAATGTTTCTTTCTTACCTGCAAAAACGGTCCATATTTCTGTATTGTCGACCTAGTTTTAGTTGCCGATGATACACCCAAAAAGCCATCCACACCACCGGAATAAATATTCTCCTGGGCACATATCAAAGCCTTGACATCATGATCATGTACACGACGTTGCAAAAACTTCACCCATCTATAGAACATCATAATGTCACGTTTAATTTGAGTCTTGGCATAGATTCGTATAGTAGGCTCTATGCCAGCACAAAACAATTTATCCTCCTCCTCATTGATGGCAACTGCCAAAACATCAGCATTTAGGGCTTGATGTGTCTCAATTCGCGAAGCCGTTTTGCCATCCCAAATACTAACATGTCCACGCGAATCACCAGATATTATAGTGAAATCTTGAAGAACTTGTATAGACCAAACAATGGTTTCCTTTCCCGATGACATCTTGGTTACATTCATTTTGTGTATGGCATGCCCTGTTCTGGTGTCCCAAATACGTATGGCTCCCATAGAGCCGGTAACTAAAAAGTTACCTGTTGCATCAAAACGACAGCACAACACGCGGCCTTCCTGTCTATCGAACAAAGCTTTGTACTGGAATTGATTGTCCTCAATGTTGAAGATATTTATGTAGCCCTCTTCCGTACCAATGGCTATTTCGTTGCCCTCACGATTTACATCTATACACCAGATGGCATTTCCTGTAACATGTTGCTTAATACGAGGCTGCAGCGTTTGTAAGTTCCACTCCACCAACTGTCCGTTGAGACCAGCACTGAACAGGCGCTCCCCAGCCCATGCCAAACCTTCAACTGAATTTTGTGGACTTTTTGGAATGGTACGTTCCAAACAAGGCGCATGTCGTACATCCCAGATTTCAATTGAGCCATCATTCCTAAAATTTTAGGAAAATATCAATACAACTAAGGAGGGAAGTAAATTATCAATACTACCTTGACACAGCCAATTTCTTCCAAATAGTATTGTAGGCCATACATTGTATGGAACGTGGTTGCAAATTATAGAATCGCACATTGTGTATGTGTGTCCGACCCTTCTGCGGATTTTCACATTCGCTCGCCCGTCTCATTTTCATTGCAAAATATTTTGAAAAGTTTAAATTTTAAACAAACTTCAGAAACGAATTATATTCTATCCGCAGCGAACAGCAAGTCAAAACACGTGTGTGTTGTTTACGAAAAGCGGGGGAACGATGAAATGTCAAATTTGTTACATGGAAGCGATTATAAGGCGAACCTCTTATAATGACGTGCATCGGCAAATTTGGTCTATGTGACGCAGTCGGTTAGACAAATGAAAAAGAAAAGCAATTTTTTGAATCAAAATTTTAAAATAAATAAAAAAATAATATTTTAAAAATCAAAGATTTGAAACAACTTAAATTGCAGACGCGCGTTAATAATATTAACCAGATTTCCATGGAGTTGAAAGATTGAACACTTAGGATTATATTTTTGTGAGAACATCCAGGCATATCATTCATCTTTCGCGCTATTTGACACATTTTAGAAATGAACAAAAATATCAAATAAAGGTAACAACTTGTTGCCTATAATTTTGAATAATTCTGACGGGAAGCGGGCATAGCCTCAAGGCTGAATTTCTGTAGTTTTTCGAAGCTATTCTACCTCCTTATTGTACCATGAACTACCATGCATGGTAGAAGAGTACAGGTAGATGCATCAACGCTTGGGAACATTGACATGTCATTTTTTTATTTTTCAAAAATAAATAAAAATATGTATATGTTTTCCTATACGACTCCATACAAAGGTTGTTATGATAAGATTTTTAACATTTTTTTTATTCAAAAATTTTACATCCAAAATTGGTTTGACAGTTTATAGTCCCAGCAGAAGCATCTGGTAGAAGCATCAACACTTGAGAACATGTTCACAATTTTTTAGTTTTCTATTTTTAATAAGTATGTTTTTATAAGTTTTCTTATACGATGCAAATCAGAGTTTGTTATGATATGCATTTTTTAATAATTTTTACAAATTTGAATGTTTATTCATTAAAAAGTGTCAATTTAAAAATTGGTTTGACAGTTCATTGTCCCAGCAGCTGTGTCAATAAAAGAATATAGGTAGACGCATCGACGCAGCTGCTGGGACAATGAACTGTCAAGCCAATTTTTGGAATTAAAATTGTTGAATGAAAAATTATTTAAGTTTGTAAAAATTGTTGAGAAATGCATATCGTATAAGAAAACATATAAAAATCTACTTATATTTGAAAAGAAATTTAAAAATTTTTGATATATCAATGCTCCCAAGCGTTGATGCACCCATGGTACAATAAATTCAAGGTAGGGCAGAACTACCATATGATTTAAATTTTTTTATTTTTCTGGCTTAATATGTCAACTTCATTTGCTTATGTGTGTGTCTTCTTTTCAATAATAAAAAATTGTTCAGAAAATATTCAAATTCGGGTGTTTTCAAAATGCTTATTGCAACGAATGCATCGACAAAATCTACAGTTTTTGTCGCGAAATAAACCATAAGAGATATATAGAACATGATATTGAAAAGAAAGTTTGACCATTCATTCAGTTTTCGCGGTTTTAAATTATTTATTCAAAATCAATGCAACAAGTTGTTTGCTTTTTTATTGTTTTGATAGCAATTCTGACATTACAAGCCAAACAGGTTAGTCATTAAGCTCGTCTCGAAAGAGAAAACAAACATTTAATGGAATTGAGTTTTTTTCTTTGTTTACATTTATGCTATGTGATTTTTTTTTTTTTTTTTTTGAATCGGTAATTGGTTACGCCGTCAAGACGAGGTTGGTACGATACCCTAAGTATGCATGTACCATTGCTTTGTATTCGATTGTTATGTGATTTTCAGGCGATTTTTGCTTGTTGTTATTTTATACAGCGTTCATATAAAAATTTTTACAATGCTTAAACAACGTTCGCACATGGTATGTTAATTTACAAGGTAGGGCATATAAATCACTTGAATACAATTTTTTCTTATGATAGTCGTGTAATGCCAATACATACTGTTCTTGTATGTATTGTTTTGCATAACATTCCAAATAAATTTTAAAATTTTTTTGAAATTAAAATTCAATTTTACAGCTACTTCAGAAAATAGACTTTTTTTGTATTTTAGGATGAAAAAGTACTAAAGTGAGAATACTTAAAACGCTTTTTGAATGGCTTAAGTCATCGGCTGGCTTCTTCGTAAATGCCAGTCAAAAAGTCGTTTAATGTATTCTCGCCTTTTGTCAAATTAGAAACTCGGTATTCATCTCATTAAAATATTGTAAAAAAAGGTCAAATGAACAAAACAAGTTGTTGCATTTGCTGTCAGTAAATTTGAAGTTACAAGACTCTAGCGTCAGAGTTGTATTTCCAAATATTTAATCTGCCCTACCTTGTAATTATATTATGTTTAAATATAAAATCTCTACCCGGGTTAACCCTGATTATTGACCGATCACAATAAATTTGACTGTGGAAAACATACATACAATTTCTTGTGATTGGTCAATTATCTTGGTTAACAAGCGCTATTAATGGTGATGGCAAACCTAAATAGCAAACTTAACGTATATTCTCTATCAAGGTCCATTGAACAGGTCGTGTAAGTAGAAACGAAAAGCATCATTCACAATGCCATCTATTTAACAATACTGGCGCTATCAGTTGGCCTTAACAAATTACCATAGTCAACCTAAAACTCCTTTGTCCCTCTACGAAGAAGCCAGCCAATGACTTATCCCAGTCAAAAAAGCTCTTTATATACTTCCACCTTAAAGGTTAAGGTGAGAGTACATAAAATACTTTTTCTTTCGAAAAGACCAAAAGAGCTAGCCGATGACTTAAGGGCTAAGTACATAAGAATCTTAAAGTCATGGCTAGGCATATTTTGTGACATTTCACAAAGGGATTACAGAGCCGCACTAAAATACAGCCGTCGTTTTCCATTATAATTTGACATTAATATGCCTAGCCATGACTTCAAGCTTCTTATGTACTTAGCCCTTTAAGCCCGTCAAAAACGCTTTTTATCTATTCTCACGCATTTTTACTTGCTTAAGTTGTCGGCTGTCTTCTTCGTAAAAGAGCAAAAGAATTTTAGGTTGACTTAGTTCAATTTCGCCCTATAACCTGTTCATTAACAAAGAAGCCAGCCGAAACTGTAATCTTTAGCGTTGAAGCTGTATTCTCGTTAATACAAATCGCAACTCCCATAACAAAAAGTTGATTCTGGCTGGGCCTTGATGACGACAAAGTACGCATAATGAAACGCCGCCCTTATTTAGTACCACTTGGTGCATTGTCGGCGACGAGAAAATTTGTCCGCTTTGTTGTCTGCACCCTAGTCATTTCGGCTTCTCTCAAATTGACGCATCAAAAGGGGATTTCTACGAAAAATTTAATAATTTATTAATAAAAACTAAAGAAATCTCATTTAAAACAAGTGAAAAGGCTTCAGTAGTCATTACTTTACACGGTTTAAGTGAAATATTGACAGAAGGTATGTTTTTTTAAGTGAAAATATCAATTGAAAATTTGCTGCAACATAGGTTCTAAGTTTTTTTCTTCTTTGTTTTCTCTTCTCTCTACCTTTTACACCATTGTGTGTGTGTATGCCTGTTTTTATGCCATCACGCCAAATTTCCACCAAACCAAATTAATGAATGAATGTCAAGTAGAAGGAGAAGAAAGAACAAGTAAACAAAAAGTAGGGAAGGAAAAAAGACGGAACCACACACATTTCACATTTCTTGTTTACGGGTCGTTTGCAATAGAAGAAAAGTACATTAAAGTGCGTTCATCGTTCCCTGCGTTTCTGTGTGTATATATTTAAGTATATGTACAAACGTAGAGTGAATTACTAATATTTGGTACAACCGATGAAAATCATGGCCGACATGGACGCCGTACACTTGGGTTTGGACGAGAACGAAGCCGACATTGCTGAGGAACTACAACATTTCGATGATTCATTTGATACACGTAGCGAAGCGTCCGAGTCGGACTCTTCCTCGGATTCTCAACCCAGTATTAGTTCCATGGGTTCGGAAAATTCGAACGAATCGAAAACAAAACGTAAAACAAAAACTAAGAAACTTGACAAATCGTCCAAGTCCACTCCGGACCAAAAGGCAGCTAAGCGTTCTGTATCACCGGCCAAGGATACTGCCGTAAATGGTAAAAGTCCTTCTAAAAAGCGAAAGGATAGCGGCAGTAAATCTGCTGAGCAGTCCAAGGATTTTATTGGTCCAATTAAACCTGACTCTATTGAAAGTGCTTCCAAGAAATCTCGCAAAAAGTCTATTGACGCTGGACCAAATACATCAACGAATAGTGCCAACGTTAGTGGCAGTGTCAAAAGTGATGCAAGTGATGATGAGTGTACTAACAAGCCCAAGGCCTCTGCGTACGATAGTGATTCTGAATCGGAAAATTCAGACTCGGCAGCAAATATAAAGCGTAATGGCCGCAAAACATCATCCAAAAACTCGACACCAGAAAAAAGAACTTCATCATCCAGATCTGGTGCAAAAGGCGTTTCCTCTTATGATTATAAGACTAAACTGAACTATCTATTTCGCGATACACGTTTCTTTTTGATAAAATCAAACAATGCGGATAATGTTACGCTGTCTAAGACGAAAAATGTTTGGGCCACTTTACCGCAAAACGATTCAAATTTGACACAGGCCTTTAAAGAGTCACGTAATGTTCTGTTAATTTTCTCCGTCAATGAAAGTGGTAAGTTGGTAATTGTTTTGTTTGCTTGTTAATTAAGGATCATCTCTTTATTTGTTTACTTGCATTAAACTTATAGTAAATATAGGATTAATAGAAAATTTAAGCATCAGCTAATACTATTTATATATATAAATTTATATTGCCGTCTGCGTATTGGATATGAAATTATATATTTCATTTATTTATTATGGTGACGACAATCTTTCATTTTTATGGTTAGAATATCATTTTTAAAGTCAACATGACAAACAATCGTCTCAACTCCAATTAGTTGCGTATTGATTAAAATATGCAAAACGTCTGTCCAAATTTGGTATCGGTTAAACCTACCACTGTCACTCCAGAAAATTGTTGACCTCTTACAAAGCGATAGGCCGGTCTGTGGTAAACTATGCGGCTCCGGTGTGGTCGGCCAACGTTATATTCAGTCCTGCCAGAATGCCGCCTTTAGAACCGCATCAGAGTGCCTCCTCATAACACCTGTCGACCACCTACATGAGGAGGTGAAGGTTTTACCGGTGCGACAGCATAATAAAATGCTGCCAATGCAATACCCGAAGGAGTGTTACAGACAGAGCCAACCGAATCACCATCTGGTGGATAGGCAACCCCCGCCCAGACACGTAAGGAAAGACCTTCATGATCTAGAGAGAGGGAGAGGTACATAGGTATAAGAGAGATCCTCTAGAACAACAAGCCTATCAAGCGGGACTGAATATTATTCACTCTAACGCGGTCTCAAAGGTCATGGAAGAATAAAGCGTGAATACTGTACTAGGAGACCATCCCCCTCCCATCGAAGCTGAAGAGCGAGAGCTGCCCTAATAAAATCGTGTAGTTTTGGCTCAGTTAGGATCCGGATGGTGTAGCCGCCTCAATTCTTTTTGGGGCCGAATTGACAGCGATGTGCAGAACATCTGCCCGGCATGTGGCACAGATCCACCTGACACACTGCACCAAACCTACTCACCTAACTCCAGTGTCGTTGTGGACCCAACCCGTACAGGTTGCACCCTTTTTGAAAATTTTCATTTCATTTCATTTACCTTACAAAGAAATATAAATAAGCCCACAGGGCCCATAACTTATATTATCTATCTACAATACCCTAACATAATACAAATTCAATGATTAATTCAAACTTAACAAATAACATATTAAACCTAATAATTTATCTTAATAATTCACGAGAAGCTCGAACCCTACACCATTCACCATCACCAACTAAACAATAGTCTAGTAGAGCAGTGAAAAAGTGTAGCAGAAACGAGCTAAAAATAAGAGATAACTATTTTATTACTCACAAAACAGAGTATAAATAGTAACTCACATTATACCCTACAAATAAAATTAAGAAGATAATATAGTGGCTCCCCAGCCCAAACAAAAAGAAAAGCAAAAAGAAAAACCCATAATAAACCGACGCAACCACTACAAAAACATAGCCTACATATTAAGGCGAAGGTATTCAATTACTTTAACCCTAAACAGATAATTGGTATGGGCAAAAGTACGTAAGGCCAAAGGAAGCTGATTCCACAATCTCACCGCCCTAACCACAAATGATCTCTCACCAATGGAGGACGAAAACCTTGGACACAACAATGGAGGATTTCGAGATGATCTACAAAACACAAAGTTGTCACGAAGAGGCGAGTCAAAATTGCACATAACACTGTAATGAAATTGAAGAATACGAAGATCAACGTAGCTGCTAAATGGCAATCCCAGGAGATCATTAACAAAACAAGAAACATGATCACCACGACGCAAGCCATACACATAACGAACAATCGAATTTACCGCCCTACGGATACGTTGCATTTGAGAAGAAGTAGTACCAGAGACTACCTCTAGACAATAATTTACCTGCGATAGCAGCAAGGATACAACCACTCTCTTCCTAACATGACAAGGCAAATAAGCATTAAGACAATACAGCCTCCGCAGCTGAAACCTTATGCGACAAAGCAAGGAATCAATGTGTCTCTTAAAGTCCAACTTCCGATCAATTATAACACCAAGACATTTCATTTCATCAACAAATTTCACTAACACAGAACCCACAGTAATATTAAGAGAACCACCATTACCATGATCATTGAACAGCATAGCTTTAGTTTTATTCCAATTGATCATAAGGCCATTTAGCGAAATCCACGACGAAAGAGACAAAACAATAGAATTAACCAACCCTTCCAACCCAGCAATATCAGCCTCTCTGAAGAAAACATGAATATCATCTGCATACAAAAACAGACAACACCTGTCATCAACAACTGAGTGCACAATGTCATTAATGAACATAATAAATAACAACGGTCCCAGTACATAACCTTGCGGGACTCCACATTGGACAAACTTCAGACGAAAAACCCAAATGAACAACAAACTGAGACCTACCTTCCAAATATGAAGCCATTAAACGACACGCAGAAGATGAAAAACCAAACTTAAACCTCAGCTTGTCAAGTAAAAGGGAATGGTTTATCGAATCAAAAGCCTTTGACAAGTCAAGGCCCAATAATAACCCAACATCAGATGAATTAAATACATCTCTAATCATGTCAGTAAGATATAATAAGTGCGTGGTCGTACTACATCGTCGCCGAAAACCAAACTGAGAACTACTCAATAGCCTACGATCATCAAGGAAGTCAACAATCGCTTCTTTAATAATATGCTCAACGACTTTTGACATAGCAGGTAGAATGCTAATGGGATTCGGCAAATCAAATGATTCACCAGTTTTCGGCACAGGAACAATTCGTGCAACCTTCCACGCCCGAGGAAAAGTAGATGTCATAAAAATCGAGTTAACAAAATGCAGGAAATGACAGGGAATGTATGGAAATATAAGTTTAAAAAACTTTACTGGCACGCCATCAACCCCCACAGCTCCCGACTTAACTTTATTTAATGACCTTACAACATCAGAATAAAATATGCAATAAAACCGAAAAACATCATCTCCCACATGACCCTCACTATAAAGAGACTGACCACGCTCACCCACAAAACCAGGATTCCCACCGGAAAAATAATGATTAGCAGCATTGACATCAATTGGTGGAGCTTCATTATCACTACCCAAAACACCAAACGACTTTAGAGATTTCCACAGCTGATTATTATTCATACGACCAAAGAAATCATTATAGTACTTACGCCTCTCATTCCTCATCACAGCCTTACAACGATTCCTATACATACAATATATTATTCTATTACCCTCCATAGGTCGGTTGCGCCACTCAAAGTACGCAAGATCTCTAAACAGCCGTGCCGATTTTACCACATCAGATTCCAACCATGCATCATTCCTGGGGTTGACCTTACGAACAGAAACAGGAACGAAAGACAATAGCGCGTTAAACAACAAATCAAATAGTGAAAGTTGACAATTCACATCAGAAGTGGAATATAAGGGGTTGAAGTCAAAATCAGATATGAAATTTAAAATGCCCAACCAATCCGCTCGGCCAAAGTTACGATACTCAATAAATCTCAAACAGATAGCACTATTTTTTAATTTGTAGTATTAGCCAGAAAGGGATTACATCAAAATGAATTTAACTTTTTCACAATTCTTCCACCTATTCCAAAACTTTAAAGTTTCAACTAAAAAAATGTACCTAGAATATCAGTGAACATATTTGTAGACATGGAAAATTTCAAAACCGCAAAGAAACTTTAAAATTTTCGACTTTTAAAACTTTTTACCCATTTAAAGTTAATTGCTTTATTTTTTAGGAAGCAAATTCGTTCTATAAAGTTGTTTATTTAACTTTTTGATCGATTAGGTATTCGTGGACATGAAAAAAAAAGAGAATATTAAAACTGGTGATTCCCCTGATGAAGTCACTAAAACAGTAACAAAACACAGGAAAAACAGCAGTGATTTTTGTTGTTTTATTTGTTGCAACAAAAACGTAATAAAACTTGGGCAAAACTGAAAACCAAAGAGTTTTAGGCGTTTTGCATTATGGATCTGGTAGGGGTACATGGGTAACTGAGCTTAATTCTTTTAGGGCATTAAATTCTTAAATTCTAAGTGCCTTAATCGATTTCTTCTGCTCCAAAATATGTCATAAAAGCACTATTCTACATACCATGATTTCTATTTTTTTGTGTTTTTTTCTGACTCGATTATAATTATGTTTATAATACTTCTTAAAGTTCATCCAAAAATATGCAATATTTTTTTAATATGTCTTTCCCATTTCTTTCTTTTTGCTTGCAGGTAAATTCGCTGGCTTCGCTCGTATGAGTGCTCCCTCGAATCGTGAAATTCCACAGCCAGACTGGGTATTACCATCAAGCATTTCAGCAAAAGCACTGGGTGGCGTAATTGAAATTGATTGGATTTGCCGTAAGGAACTGTCGTTCAATTGTACATCACATTTGTACAATTCATGGAACGAAGGTAAACCGGTGAAAATTGGACGAGATGGACAAGAAATTGAACCCAAGGTGGGTGCAGAGTTATGTCGGCTATTTCCGGAAGATGAAAAAGTGGAATTAACACCCATATTGCGCAAATCTAAAGCCACGGCAAAAATGATGAGAGAAAAAGGCATACGAATGGTGTATAAGGCACCGAAAAGTTTATCATCGCGAGGAGGCGGTGGTGGACGCATCAATCATTTTCGTTCTGGTGGCGGCGGTGACCGTAATCGGGATGGCGGTGGTCCCATGCGCCATAAGAGATTCGGCAGTTCACATCGTACTTATAAAATGCCATACCATCCCGGTGGCGGCGGCTACAAAAGAGGTGGTTCTCCCTATAGAGGAGGGCCAGGTGGCGGAGCCGGTGGTAACGGACAAACAAGAGCCGGTGGTGGTGATGCCGGCCTACCACCTTGGGATCGTTATATAACACCAACAGCTGCTGCTGAAGCATACTTGGTAGATTATATGCGAACAATGCACGGTCAGCTGCCACCACTGCCATTTGTTCCGCCTTTTGGTCAAATGCCACCACCAACACCAGGTGGAACAGCTGTTCCACCCCCAGGTTTACCAGCTTCCATGTACGAATTTCCTCCTCCAAGCAGATACTATGATGGGCCACCACTACCCGACTATCCGCCTCCGCAACCAGCACGTCCACCACCACCCGGCTACGACAAGAGTGGTCCATCGTTTGAAGACTTTGCAGCCTGGAAACATGCCGGTCTACCCACAGGATCACTGCCACCAGGATTTCCTCCCAGCGCTCCCGGTGTTACAAGTACAGCTGCCGCTGGCACAACCAGTACAACAACCAGCAGCACAGCAGGTGGTCCACCAAACACAACGTATCGTATCAATCGCAACAACGATATGAACAATGCCAATGTGAATCGTGCGCGCGATCGCCCAGGTCGGGGTAATGACTATCATCACCGTGGCGGTGGTAATGTAGGCGGTTCTTCACGTGCACCTGGCGGTGGTGCTGACCGTGATCGTGGTAATATCCGCAGTGGGGGTGTCAGTGAACGCAGTAGTGGTCGATATAGCCGGGGAAGTCGTCGTTAAGTGTAACGCGGAATAAAAGTAAAAAAAGATTTAAAAAAAGAGAAAAATCCGCAAAGTAATGGTTTTACCAACTAAAAAATATTAATTTTAAATCGGTTAATAACGGTAATCTAATGAGACAAATACACCCCTTCTGCGCAAACCTTCCGGTCTACAAACACTTCAGCAGATCACACCACACAACTCTAATTAGTGATTGTAATTTACTTAAAACATTCAACAGAAAAAAATCAACAGAATCCCTAAAGTTTACAAAATATTCTCAACATTTGAAAAGTGCATAGAAATCGAAATATTTTTTATTCTATTGCCCTCAGAAAGAGAGAGAGAGAAGGAAATGCTAAACCTCAACACAACAAAAGAATAATAATGAAACAAAACAAAATATTTAACAGTGTGAAAGAAAAAGTTCTTGAAAAAATATTAAGAAACTTATTTTTAGTATTTAACTTTATTTAGTTCTTTCCTACATCATTTAGAACTTTTAAGAATTACGAAATGAAAAATATATATATATTTAAAAAAAAAGATAAAAGAAAAAATAAAAACAAAATCATGAAGAACTTTTTATTGCAATATCCAGAAGAAAACATGAAAAGTTGGAGAGCGACTTGTGTTGTTGTTGTTGTTGTTGTTACTTAAAAAGAGACTGACCACATCGAGATGAATGATATCCTTGGGATGTCATTTTCCACATAAGAGACGTTTATTGTTTTGCACTCTCCTCCTTACACCCCACCAAAGAAAACGAACTTTTTCTCTCTGTTATTGCAAGCTCAAAAATAATATGTAATATTTGAAATTTAAAAAGTAACAAATGAAAAACGAAAAGTGTCTTAACATTCAGTGGATTGTAAAAACAAAAGTGAAACGAATTATTCGAATTTAATTTATCCCTGAGGGTATAATCTTTAATTGTGCCTCCTTCAAGTATGAAGTGAGCAGACATTCCCTAAAATTACCTAAAAATGCGTTGTTTAAAACATACAAAAACATACTTGATGGACTACTATCCACCACTAAAATGGACTTCCAAATTGCTATAATTGTGTTCCACAGTTGAATACAGTAGCTAAAGTGCTTCCTAAAAAACGTTTTTTAACACCAAATTGCCCCACATAAATAAGAATTAAAAAAAGGAATATGTTTCAAAACAAACTGAATACTGTGTGTGTGTGTGTGTGTTTGGTCATAGTCATAGTGCAATTTCGAAAATTGGTCACAAATTAAGAACCTCTCTATGACGATATGGAAACGAAAAATACCATTCCAAATATGATTTTGACATTTTTCATTTTAAATTTCGAAAAGCTCATTTGGAACGGTGTTTTCCTTTCGTATTCACATTCTTATCGTCATAGAGAAACAGGCTCTAACTGAAATTTAAACTTATTATAAGCATATTTGCCAACATAACGCACATTTAACTTATGACGATTGCTCGCGTTGCAGACGTTATGTATCTTCCATAAATTCTAGCACCGCTTATTTGTGATTATAAATTGCATTACGTACCCACATGCTACCACGGTACCGTGCATACTACATATTTTTCTTTATTTTTAATTATAATTTGGATCTTGATTTTTTTATCGAATATGAATGTAGTTGAAATTTTACAATTTTCTATGGGATCATTTGCCTTATTAATTTTGTGTATAACTTTTTCTCTATTTTTACCACTAGATGTGGCTTAGCCAACCATTTAAAGTCAATTTTAAAAAGCTCTCACAGCTGATTGCTCGAAATCCTTTAGTGTTTTAAATACTTCGAATTTCAATAGAAAGCTGTCGCAATTTTTTATCAACAATGGCGAAGTTTAGATTTGTTCGAATCGGTCACCTTTGGCACGAATTTTGGCCTTTAAACGGCCAATGAAACCGTCACACGCTGCCCGAATGTTGCTCTGCGGTATTTTGACCCATTCCCGGCGTGCGCTTGCTTGAGTGCCAACCTTGCTTTCCAAAGTACTCCAGACATAATAGTCCAACGGATTGGTATCCGGAGATTTTGGCGCTGGAAATGAAGCGAAGAACCTCATTTTGTAACCATTCTTGGGTGGCGCTTGCTAAATGCGATGGTGCTGAGTCCTGTTGGAATGTCCAAGGTCTGCGGCCAAAAAGTTTGCGGCCTTTAACACACCCACCAGAATATTTTCGCGATAATATTCGGCATTTATTCTGATGCCACGATCGATTAATACGAGCGGAGAGCGACCATCGGCTGTTATGGTGGCCCACACCATCACCATGGCCGGCGCTTGAGTTCTAGTGGCCAACCAAAGGTGCACATTTCAGCTGATCTCTTTGGCAAGTAAACACGATCATTTTGTTTGTTTACAAACTGCTGGACAACGAATTTTTTCTCATCGGAGACGGAGAAAACCATATTCGGCAGTTTACCACTTTCGGCCAAGCGATGCAACTCTTTAGATCTTTTGAGTCTATTTTCTTCACGTTGCAGCGTAAGTTCGTGCACTTTTTGGAATTTCAATGTCTTTACCCCGAATTCATTTTTCAATATTTGCCGAATGGAATATTGTGATATGTTCAGTTAACGAACCAGTTTTCGGCCACTACAACTTGGGTCAAGTAGCTTCTTTACTTTTCGAACCATTTCTACTGATGTTGCTATTTTCTTCCGTCCACTTCCTTGACTTCGGGCTACGCTACCAGTATCACGGTAACGAGCGATGGTACGAGACACAAAAGATTTATTCACATTTAAATGCTGAAGTGCTCTAACGATAGCCCCTAGTGGTTTTCCAGCCAAATATAGAAAAATCACACTATCACCCTTGAATTCCATGACGAATAACTTTTTTTCTGGAAAATTCTCACCAAAATGCTTTTGTACGCTTGTAAACAATATAATGAGCTGTCACTGGAATAATTTTAACAGCTGTCGGACGAGTGGCTTAGAAATGAACATTTGTACCTCCTTAAATTAATCAATAATCGAATAAACCGTCTAATGGTCTGTGCTAATCACGTTTCTTTCGAATGAATTGAGAGAGATGGTTATCTCTCTGTTTTATCTTTGCAACGGCATTAGAAGAAAGTCTTAATATATAGTAAAATACTGTGACAGGTTCACGTTTCGTTCTTTACTCCATATAACAACACCGACCATTTCACCGAAAGCAGACTATCTGCTTTCCTGGCATTTGCAGATGAAAATAGAAATTTCCATATTGAATCATCATGTTTTATTTTCTTTGGATCCTTTCCCCCATGAAAAAAGTTTTTTAATTGTTTTATATGAACTTTATTATTGCTTCTCGATTTCAGGATTGTTCTACAATACATTTTAAATTTGGATGGTTTAAAACCATTTATATAAGATAGTCATTTAACATTAAAATAGACTAGTTATCCATTTTAAAGATACAGCAATTAGGTGCAATTTGAATTTATGGAAAATTACATTTTGAACACACACACAGATTTTAATAACCCCATTTATTTCTCATAAGAAAATTCCATCAAATGTTGCTTTTTGTGTTCATTACATACATACATACATATTTATCATAATTTTGTTTGTTATTTCTGTTGTTGTTACATTGTTTATCTAATATTGTTTTATGTCTTTCAGACGTGAAAACGTTTTCGAAGCAAATTCAATACTTTGCAGTTACAAATACGTTACGTACATACACATACGTATGTATGAATATATTTGTTTTGTCGCCTCTCGTGGATTTGCCGTTGTTTGTTGTCTTTGGAAGTGAAAGAGAGTGAGAGATATTGAGAGAGGATGAGCAGTTGGACAAACATTTAAAGAAAGTTATATGCGAGACCAACAGGGAAACCATAAAACATGCATTTCAAAGTTAGTTAGACGACCATTTATTTAGACAACAGAAGTATACCATTACAGAGATGATCCAAAACTGTTTTTTTTTGCAAATTTTCTATTTAAAAAAAAAATATCCAACTGATAGAGGTGGTATATCATGTGATTCGTAAGACGCCGATCTTTCCAACACACAAGGTAGACGAGACTGTTATACTCGGACAAGGAATTTGTAGACTTATTAACTAATGTACATCTGTTATTTTTCTCTCAGATGAAATTGGCTCCACCCGTTGACGATTGGGAAATTTAATTTTTTTTACAACTATTTCAAAGGCTGATGCTAAATTTGTCGTAGACCCCATATATAAAATTCTATGTCGATTTAGCGATGTCTGTCTGTCTGAAATCACCACATTATTTGACGTAGAGCTTCAAAATGTGGAACAACAATTTGTATTGTGTCTAGGATGGTTGGTATTTAAATTGAGATTTATCGGTCCACGTTTTATTATAGCCGCCATATAACGGTATCACCCTTTATTCGGTATTTTGATGATTTTCGCCATATTTTTCACGGATTTGTCTAAAAATTTTATTTTATGTATAGGACCACGTTTTGGTACAGCCCCCATATAACAGTACCATTTATATTCGGTATTTCCATTATTTTTACCACATTTTTCCAAAGATTTGTGTAAAAATTGGTATTTTTAGTTCTTAATGGTTTCTAGCTCCGGTGGGGAATACAACAGTACTTTCCATATAACGATACAGGGAGTTGTTCATTCGTTGTAAGGTGACAGGGATGATGTTGTTACCCTGGGGGGGGGGGGGGGGGTTCCGAGTATGAATGTGATCCTCGGAATCCACCCCATCCACCGCAGCGGAAGTACGTCAGCTAGACAAACCAGGGTAGTTTCGCCTCGACTTCGTTTAGGATGGTGTAGCCGTCTCAATCCGTATTGAATGTGCGAATGCACTGTTTAAAGTAGTGTTGGCAAAAATATAACAGCTAAAAATCACCCTTTATTTCTCAGCGTTTTCTGAATAATTGTCCACATAAATCCTCGTTTCGCGGTACCTCTAGATATTCGGTATTTAGCCACGTTGTCCATGTTTCACTGGTGTCTATAGATATTTAGTATTCTTATGATTTTAGCTATATCTATTTTCGTTTTTAACTGAGAATGGTCTATATACAGGGTGAGAAAAAAACTGCAACAAAGTCAAACGAAATAATTTTGACATTGTTTTTAATTTTATTGAATGAAAGCAAAAAATGTCAAATTTTAGAATAAGTTTAGATTTGTTTGAATTGGTCACCTTTGGCACGAATTGTGGCCTTCAAACGGCCAATGAAAACGTCTCACGCTGCCGAATGTTGCTTTGTATCCGGAGATTTTTTTTGGCCGCTGTGCGCTGGAAATGAAGCGAGGAGCCTCATTTTGTGACCATTCTTGGGTGGCGCGTGTTGAGTGTGGTGGTGCTCAGTTCTGTTGGAACGTCCAAGATCTGCGGCCAAAATGTTTGCTTGCCCAAGTCTTTAATACACCCTCCAGAATATGTTCGCGATTTTTATATTTATTCTGATACCACAGTCGAATAATACGAGCGGAGAGCGACCATCGGCTTTTATGGCGGCCCACACCATCACCATGGCCGGCTCTTGAGTTCTGGTGGCCAACCGAAGGTGCATATTTTCAGCTGACCTCTTTGGCAAGTAAACACGATCATTTTGTTTGTTTACCAACTGCTGAACAATGAATGTTTTCTTATCGGAGCAACACAAATTCGGCAGTTCACCACTTTCGGCCAAGCGAAGCAACTCTTTAGCTCTTTTGAGACAATTTTCTTTCTGTTGCGGTGTAAGTTCTTGCACTTTTTGGAATTTGAATGGCTTTACCCCGGGCTCATTTTTCAATATTTGCCGAATGGAATTTTGCGATATGTTCTGCACACGTGCCATTTTTCGGCCACTGCGACGCGGGTTTCGATCAAGTCGATTCTTTACTTTTCATTTGCAGATGAAAATAGAAATTTCCATATTGAATCATCGACGCGGGTTTCGATCAAGTCGATTCTTTACTTTTCGAACCATTTCTGCTGATGTTGCTATTTTCTTCCGTCCACTTCCTTGACGTCGGGCTACGCTTGCAGTATCACGGTAACGAGCCATGGTACGGGACACAAAAGATTTATTCACATTTAAATTCTGTTGCTCTAACGATAGCCACTTGTGGTTTTCCAGCCAAATATAAAAAAATCACACTATCACGCTTGAATTCCATGACGAATAATTTTTTTTTCTGGAAAATTCTCACCAAAATGTTTTTGTAGCCACGTTTTCAACGGAATTGTTTTAAATTTGGCATTAAAGGTTTATAATGGTCACTTATATTGGTCCATATTTCACTGGTCTCTATAGATATTTAGTATTCTTATGATTTTAGATATATCTATTAAGCGGAGTTTTCGTTTTTAACAGAAAATGTTCTGTATAGGTCCATGTCTTGTCTATAGCCCCCATATAATAACTTAACTTTATAACTTCTTAATACTCGGTATTTTTATGATTTTTGCCACGTTTCTAAGGGACTTTTTAAGAATACAATATTTATAGCTTGTAATGAGTTCTACATCTTTTAGCAAAATTATTTGTATTACACCTAGGTCATGAGCGTGAAAAATGCTACTTTTCGTACCTCCCCCAAAATATTGCAATTTTGTTCCCTATTTTCTTCAAACTTCCCATATCATAATAATTCTAACTTTCATAAAATGTGAGATTTGAGGTGGATATATCCAAATGCTTTATCTTTGAGATATTACCGTGTTACCGTGATAATGTGCAATATTTTTTTTACAAGGTTTACACTTGGCACAATTTTACATTTTGTCCCTCTCTCGTCTTCGCCATTTGTATGTTTTTTGAAGCATGACATTTTGATCTAATTTTTGATTTCATCCTTTCTCCTCCTGAATGCCATTCATTAACTGTGCGTTCGATTTTTTCTTCAATAATTAATTAACATGGTTTCCACAACTGTATCGTCGTACTTTTTTTCGAAGGAATTGTGTATCAATGGACATTTTTTAATAAAACGAACTGCAATAGGAATTTTATTATCTTTATAAATTTTGTTTCAGCTACCCCGTGGATGATCTCATGGTTACAAAACCAACTGCTGCAGAAATTCAAGGAACAAATTTAATAGATTTTTTCTGGAAAAATAAATTTTTCTTTTATTTAAAAAATTAACAAGTTTTTTTTTAATTGTGTTGGAATATTATGGCTTGGGTGAAAAAATGTTTTGTAGTGCCAGCGATTCGAAATCGAAATGGTAGGAGAAAATATGATTATGTTGAATATAAATAATATATACATTTCAAAGTTTGTATAAAAGGAAAATAAAATAATTTTTTTAACCATATTTCGGCTTTGGTAAAACTTCATCATCAGAACTTTGACCGGAGTCGTCACTTTCTTGTAACTTCTTAAAATTTCTACGTGAATTTGTATTATTGCTGACTGCTGTTACGACAGGATTACTGTTTACAACGGCCGACGACGATGTTGATGGCACGGAATCGTTGGGTATATTCGGAGTAATGCCAACTCGGGAATTTGAAGATGACGACGGTGTTATCCGGGGATCTAGAATGAATCGGAATTAAAGTCAGCAATTTATGTTTTTCTCAAACACACATACCTTCATTGGAAAGCATTCCATGCTCTCTTTCCTGCCACTTGGTGAAAAAATATGTGCCACTATAGAATAGTATGGGCAGGCAACAAACTATGCTCAAAGTAACCAAATACAGAGTCATCTTGAATTCTCTGCGACAGCATTTATATGTTTTAGACCACAGTTGTCGAGTGCGATTCATCTGAAAACCAGAAAAAAATATTAATGGTTTCAATTTGTTGTGAAAAGTGCTGAATTACGCGGATAAATCTGTCAAATGGTTTTTGTGTCATAATTAAGAAATCTTTAACCAAATGTTAATTAAAATAATTATTATTATTATATTTTATACCTACCGAATCTTGAATATCGAAACAAACTTGGCCATTATTATGATCATCCATTTCCAAATAAAAACTATTTAAATTTTTATACTCCAATAGACAACTGTCACAGGGACTATCTTTATGTATACCAATACAGCCTTCGAAAGCAGAACTCAAATTGTTAAATGTCTCGAGGTTATCATTTACGTAACAATCTGAAAAAATAGGGATAATATAAATCATGAAATAGGTACGAAATAAATATCATACGAAAAGGAAGCCTTAATATGAAGCAAGCAGGTGATGGAAACCGATTCGATTTTATGTTGGTGTATTTACTAGCCTTGAATGATATCCTGATATTTCTTTGGAAGAATCCAATCGCGATTTCTACAAAAGATTTACTCAAATTTTGTGATAATTCTAATCGATTTATACCAAAACGAGTCGAAATTGCTTTCATCACATGCCGGAATACTTAAAATATATACAGGGTGAAATAGAAAAAACTGCAACAGAGTCAAACGCCATAATTATTAAATTTTATTCAATGAAAGCAAAAAGTGTCGGAAATAGCATCAAATTTTAGAATAAGTTTAAATTTGTTCGAATTGGTCACATTTGGCACGAATTATGGCCTTCAAATGGCAAATGAAACCGTCACACGCTGCCCGAATGTTGCTCTGCGGGCCATTTCCGGCGATGCTCTTGCTTGAGGTGATCGACATATTGGCATATTTTTTAATGCCAACCTTGCTTTCCAAAATACCCCAGACACAATAGTCCAACGAATTGGTATCCGGAGATTTTGGTGGCCATTGTGCGCTGGAAATGAAGCCAGGAACCTTGACTGCAAGAAAGGCCTTATTGAAATACGTGATTACATTAAGCTTAGCTGGGTCGTAGTTCCTAATCGCTTTTATGCCAGCTGCTTCAAAAAATCTCATCTATGAAACTAAAAGAAGTTGGGGTTTGGAAATCGTTTGCAGGATATCTAAAGCCATCTGGGCGGTAATCTATAGGAGAACTTGAATGTCTACTTTGCAGATGTCCCATGCTGTCAAGCAAGATACATAGGTTGTTCGGTAAATGGAAGATAGGTGATCTAACGTTCTTCTCAGACGGAGATTCCATCATCATCTAAAAATTTGCCTGGCTAAGCAGACCACCATGCTAACTATACTTCTCTCTGTAAACCCTTCCTTGCTTGTTTTGCATTTTTCGATATTTCGAAATATGTAATTCGATTCTTTCCATTTATTGTTCGAATTATTATATTTGAAATTCGAATCAAAAATCTAAAGACAAAAAAAATTTGTTTTTTTTTTTTTGGTCTGTTCCAGAAAACTTTTAGTAAAACTTTTTACTAATTAAAATTAAATAATTCGAATTTTAAGTTGAATATACAATTAATTGCTCTGTTCCAGAACCTGCGAGAATCTATTTTTTGAGAATTTTTTTCAATATCATAACGAAAACCCAGTTATCGTAGTTAAAAGTTTTACGTTTCTGAATACATGATGATTAGGGTGTTATCAAAGTCTGCTTGTGGTAATATTTCCCGTATGATCCACTAGGGTACCTTAACGTGTTTGCAGACGTAAAATATATGCGTTGATTTTCATACCGATGCAAAATGAATGAACCAATATTCGTTCATACGGTGTTCGGACTACTCTTATAATGTGTGACTAATCACGGTTTCACCAGATTCATAAAATCACAAATAATTTAAAAGATTTAAACAAATTGGCCGTTAAGTTTAGCAGCTCCCTGAAAATTGTTTTGCGTCCGTCGCAAACATTTTTAACTCGATTAATTTCTTCAGGTCTATTTTCGCAGAAATACTCAAAAAAGGGTTAATCCCCCTTATTGTACATAATGCATTTAATGTGCCCTGCAGCTCATTTTATATTACCATCACAGTACGCCTTTGTCCATAGTTTGTTTAGAGACTCTTCAGTTGCTGCCACTAGATTGACCCGATCCTTATCAAAGTATTCCGCGGAACAATTGGCAGTATCTTTTAGTGCAGTATAATTTTCATCCATCAATTTGAATGCCTCCTTGCAACCAACACAAATTGTAACCGGGACAGAATGCGTAGTAACGCAATGGGAGAAAAGACCCTCGGCATTAGCGAGTTCTCGCAATATTTTCTTGCATTGGTCGGCCTTGCTTTGTGCGATGCATAATATTCCAATAATTATAAAAAATTTAAATTTAATCATTTCACTTAGAACGAATGAACAAACAAACAAACGACCAATATGTTGTAAAGTTTAGAATGAAAACCAAGTAAACAAATCGATTAGGAATATAAAAACCAATTTATCGATTATCGACCATTAAAAGTCGATTACTTGTTGTTTCAATTAGATTTATGAACTGTTCACATGGAGGTTTAGCAAGACAAATGTTCATACATAAGAACTTTATTTTATGCACCTTATTCGCTCTCTATTCGTTGTTCGACCATTAATTATGAAATATCTATGAGTAGATTTGAGTAGATTTTTAAATATTTTCTTACGAGGCTTACAATTTTTACAAATTTAAATAATTTTTCATTCAACATTTTCAATTCCAAAAATGGTTTGACAGTTCATTGTCCCAGCAGCTGTGTCGATGCGTCTACCTATATTTTTCTACCATGGCAAATCGTTTATTTTATATTGAAGTACTCAATTAAAGATTTACTTCACTAAGTCATTTCATTTTCTGTAATTTACCTTGCCAAATTTCATTGCACGACCGGTTTGTGTGCATATAATGGATTTATAAATATAAATTTTGACAATGAAATGTCAAATGAACAATTTTGAAAAAAAAAATTGTAAACATATGATATGATTTTTCAAAGTATTGTCATGAATAAACAAAATTTTATATTTTTTCGTTACTTGTAAAGAACGCCTTTGCGGAAACATTCGTGGGAAATCCAGACTAAGCTGTAAAAGCAGATTATGTAGTTTAATCGGGATAATTTTGTTTTGTATTTAAACGCGCTATGAATAAATAAAGCACACATGTCAGCCAAAAGTTCATGTTTATTACATGGGCGTACTTACACAGGCGTTATTACATTTACAAAATGCATTTGTACGCAACTTGAACATTATGACGCCGTTGCTCCAACATCCCAATACGACTTTGTTTTCTAAGCCCGACAACCGCTCTCACTCTCTTGTTCTCTTTGAAAATTTTTATTTGAATTTTGATTTTGAACGAGTTGGACGTATGTTGCTGTGACGGTGTAGTTTATTAAAGAAAATAATTGTTAATAATAATAATGAAGAAAATATAAAGGCAATACTTGCCAAAACGATTCGAGTAATAAAAGAAAACAAACAAAATTATACGACTGGCTAAAATAAAAAGGGAGTTGATACCGAAAAAACAACCCCTCTCGACCGACCGACCAACCATACATGGAGTAATTTATTAAACCTCAAGGGAGGGAGTTTTTGTGAAGAAAAATCAAGCAAAGCCAAAATTGAATGTTTAAAAAATCAATTGTTAATCTGTCGATTGTGCAAAATCAAATTCGGTGCTAAGCTAAAAAGAGGAATTTGTTTAGTGTGTGTGTATTTGGAATCGGGAAAAAATAAAATGCTCTGTTCCTCTGCAGGGCTCCTCAGTGTAACAAAGGATGTATGAATGAATGATGCAGTTTGCTCCAATTGGATATATTTCAGTGTAGACATCGTTTGCGAAAAGTCTCGGTACAGAAGAAAAGGTGAATGGAATACATAAAATGCAAAAGCCGGTATTAAGTACAAAATTTATCCAATATCTCTATGTGTACATAGAATAAAAGTGAGAAAAGAAAATTCAAAGGAAAAAAACAACATAATACTAATATGTATGTACGTGCGTATGTATATTTGTAGTGCAACGAAAGGAGTGCACGGAGACAACGCCACTCCTTTTGCAAAGAAAAATTCCTAGTGCAGCCAATATATCTGCAGTTAATGCTCTCGATATCCTTTCGCAGATATTCATTACACATCCTTGGGTTTTCGCATTGGCGAATCGATGGATTATTGTAGATAAACAGACACCACTTGGCTGGGGAATGCATTTGTGGTATTATTCTTTTCAAAATAATCCGACAAACACAACGCCAATTCAAAGGTAAGTCTAAATACCTAGCATACCCTCACTCCCCTACACAAGGTGAGGTGTGTAGTTTATCCCTATTCCTATCTCTGTATTCATGTTCTATTTTATTCTTCTTTCTTACTCTATCGGCATTTCCATTCGAAGCCATTGAAGAAGAAGACCTCGTTCATAGTATTCACCGCACCATTCTTCCTTTTTACTACCCATCATATCCATAGACGTACATATACGCCTCTCCGGGATGGCGATGATGTGTTTGTGTCTCCAAAAACAAGGCAAAACAACAAATGTAAATAGTTTAATGAATCCCGTTACATGTCTGAGTCTGCGCACTAGTGGCCAGCTCGACAATCCGGAAACCAAATACAGGATTTTATGTATTGTATACAGGATAACGTTTATAAACATCTCTACATAAATACTTATAAGAACGTATATACATATGTGTGGTAGGAGGCGATTTCTGGAAGTACAACAAATATATATATCGAACCTATTTTTGTTCCCGATGGGTAACATTTTAAAAATAAATAATCGACTCGATGGCTTTGAAAAAGAAGCAGGCAGTTGGACTAAAAGTGTTCATAAAAATAAAGCAAGGACTGTTGAGATTAAATTTCATGGAAGAGACTTCTATTTTTCACATAATCCTTCAAAGTACAGGATGAGATAAAAAATCTACAACACAGTCAAACGCCATAATTTTTAAAATTTATTGAATGAAAGCAAAAATTGTCGGAAATAGCATCAAATTTTAGAATAAGTTTAGAATTGGTCACCTTTTGGCATGAACTCTGGCCTTCAAACGGCCAATGAAACCGTCACACGCTGCCCGTATGTTGCTCTGCGGTATTCCTGGTGAAACGCTTGCTTGAGGTGATCGAAAATACTGCAGACACAATAGTCCAACGAATTAGTATCCGGATTTTTTGGAGGCCATTGTGCGCTGGAACTGAAGCGAGGAACCTCGTTTTTTAGCCATTCTTGGGTGGCTCGTGCTGAGTGCGATGGTGCTGAGTCCTGTTGGAATGTCCAAGGTCTGCGGCCAAAATGTTTGCATGCCCAAGGCTTTAATAGACCCTCCATAATATTTTCGCAATATTCGGCTGTTATTCTGATGCCACGGTCGATTAATGCGAACGGAGAGCGACCATCGGCTGTTATGGCGGCCCACACCATCACCATGGCCGGCGCTTGAGTTCTGGTGGCCAACCGAAGGTCCACATTTTCAGCCGACCTCTTTGGCAAGTAAACACGATCATTTTGTTTGTTTACAAACTGCTGGACAACGAATGTTTTCTCATCGGAGACGGAGAAAATCAAAATCGGCAATTCACCACTTTCGGCCAAGCGAAGCAACTCTCTCTCTTTAGCTCTTTTGAGTCTTTTTTCTTTCTATTGCGGTGTGAGTTCTTGCACTTTTTGAAATTCTAATGGCTTTACCCCGAGCTCATTTTTCAATATTTGGCGGTATTTTTTACATTTTGCAGGTCCTTCAGGTATTAAAAGTTTGGCCCAAATTTAAATGTTTTTCATACCCTCAGCCCAATGGCTGTATAGGGTATATATCATTTGTTACGGCCAAAACGTGCCTATTCGAAATAATGGTTTTAGACCCTAGATCTCTTTGGACAAAATCCGTTTCAGGACATTTGAAGCCGATGTCCGTCCGTCTGTCTGACTGGCTGGCTGGTGCGTACGATAACTCTCGAAGACAGTATCCGATTTGGTCCAAACTTGGTACATCGTAATATTTATGAAGACAGGCAATATCGGTCCACTCCTTCAGGTTACCTACCTCACAAAAGGTCGAATTTTTCAAAAAAAAATATATTTTACTGCAAAGAATGAGAAAAGACAATTCAATTTTGAGAACAACTCTAGGTTAGTTAAAACTCTTCGATTTTTCCGAAGTGGTATGTATTTATACCCTGATTCCGAGAAACGATTTTTTTCATGGGCGACGACCCCGAGATCCCTTTGACCCGAAAGTCTGGGTTCAATACCCGGTATAGACCTGAATATAGACAATATCTATCCACCAAGTGATCACATTTAAATCGGTTCGGATGTTATAGTCAAATTATTGTTTTTTTTTTTTTTTTGAAGAGTTTTTACTAAACTAGAGTACCTCTCCCACAAGGGGTCAACATTTAGAATACTTATAGATCTTATAAAATCTGATGTAAAAGTCCGATTGTCTTCAAATTACAAACATTGCAATATTTTTACTAACCCAAAATCTGGAATATATCGGCCCACTCCTTCTGGCACCTGTCCCACAAAGGGTTAACATTTTGAATATTCATGAAGCTCACACAATGCGAATTTAACATCCGATTCCATTTAGACTTGGCACATCTCAGTATTACTATCAACACAAGATCTGTTATAAAGATGGTAGATGGACTGGAACCCCCCCCCCCCCCCCCCAAAAGGGCCAAAGTTTTGAATAACCAAAACAATTATAAATTCCGAAAAAAGCATCCGGTCCTCTTCATATTTTACACATCTCATCATTTCTACTAATACATGATCTGCAGTGAAGATATATCGGTCTACTCCTTCTAGTACCTCCCACAGAAAGGGTCAAAATTTAAAAAAACCAGTTAAAAAGTATTAGTCAGTATTGCCGCCAGATATACCCTTAGCCTATGTTCGATTATCTAAATATATTTTGACTAGTGTTAAGATTATTCAAACGTTTGACCCTCTATGGAGCAGATCCCGAAGGAATGGGCCAATATAGCCCATTTCCTATCGGACCCAAAAATATGATGTACATATTTCGACAGATGTGCCAAGTCTAAATGTAATCGGATGTTAATTTGGCATTTTATGAGCTTCATGGGTACTCAAAATTTCAATATTTTGTGGGGGAGGTACCAGAAGGAGTGGACCGATGTTTTCCCCCTTCACACCAGACTATGGGTTAATACAAATATTAGGATGTGTGAAATTTGAAGACAATCGGACTTTTACATCACATTTAATGAGATTGTAATTATTCAAAATTTTGACCATTTGTGGGGGAGGTACTTGATGGAGTGGACCGATATTGTACATTTCCACACCTGACCTAGTACTGACGCAAATATTAGGATTTGCAAAGTTGGAGCAAATTCGGATTATCCTTTCTCTTTCTGTGCAAAACGTATATATTTTTTGAAAATTTC